TAACTGAAATAAGCCTGGCTTATTTGGTTAACTTGTTTTATGAAACAGGCCTCAAGGCATGAAAAGTTATCATATTTTCTCCATTGCATCGTATTGCATCGAATCGCATTGTGTTGAATCGAATTGAATCGAAATCGCATCGCATCGCATCGGTAGCTGCTTCATATGTATCTTTAATGTATCGTATCGTTGGCTATGCATCGAGATGCGTATCGTATCGGCCTGAGTCATGAGATGCACATCCCTAACGCACACACACATGCACACACATATTTGTATGCAAGTAAACAAACAATAAAAATGAATGAATGAATAAACCCAAGAAAGTAACATCTTGCATATGTAATCCTGGTTCCCTGAATATGAAATGAGATATATGTTTTCACATAGACGAAACATTAATCTTGAAGATGAAACTTCAAACAAAGTAGTCAGAAGTATAGAATCACCCATGTGCTATATGTTTGTGTTTATTCCAGGCGCTGAGGGTAATGGGAAAGATCATGCGGGAGTGCTGGTACGCCAATCCAGCTGCTCGGCTAACAGCACTACGTGTCAAGAAAACTGTATCCCAGGTAACTGTGGTCAAGGACGTTAAAGAGTAACACAGCAGCTTGGTGCCCCTCTCATCTCTGTCTGTCAGTGTTATTGGGACATTTCAGATGCTCAGCTGAGATGCCAAAGATTCCAAGAGTTTAAGAGGGAAATATTATCTTGTGTTGACACCTGATCGTTTGAATAATTAATGAAAGAGAGTGTATTTTTGTTTCTTAGTCAATAGATGGCGATAGAGTACTGATATACTGCTACCTCAACTGATCTTGTAAGTGCCAAATGCTTTGAGTTGCACGTTATGCTTTGTGCCATTAATGTTTTGTTTGCTGTAACTTACAAATATACAGTGTTTCAAAAAATTATTTTGAAAAGTAATTCAAAATGTCTCCACACACACACACACACACACACACACACACACAGGACCAACATATATATATATATATATATATATATAGTTTTTTTTTTCAAGACCAAGTGTTGACGTCTGACAGCGTAATGTGGTCGGTAAAATAAGCTTGTTTTTTAGCCAAGCTTTGTGCAGATTGTGGTTTCCTGGCACAATTTTTTTCTACTGTTTTAAACAGCTCACATCACTTTTGATTGTACTGTGTACCTGCAGAAACCTGAAGGATGATTTCCTGTAAGCCCTGTAATTTCTGAATGTAAAGAGAATGGTTTGCGTTTTGTGCATGTGCAGATGTCTGGTTCAAACCCTGATGTCTGAAGAGGGGAAAAAAACTATGTAACTGATCATCCAAAGCCAGATTCTTCATCTAGAGCAGGGGTCTCCAACCTTTTATACACAAGAAAATATTCTTGTGTACTAGCTGGGCATCAGTGGGCTGTTTGAGGTGTGATCAAAACAATCATTAATTATTCTTTTTAACTTTTAATTGACATGAAATCAACAAAATTATGATTTATCAAGCTATTTATGTGGTTGATCATTTTAACAACTTCATTCAGCACAGAGTGAAGTTCCTTTTACGCCTGTATAGCCTGGTGTGTAGATTAAAATTCAGGTGCAAATTCTGAAAAAACTGACTCGAGTAGTGAGACCAGACAGCTGTCCATTCATGCTGCTCTGTCTTTACATATTCCAATTCAAAATGATCAAATTTGCCTGATATGTAGTCATTCAGAGACTTGAAAATCTCTGCCCCAGTTGTACTAGATTGAACGCACCCACATCCTCATGCACATTGGCTTGAAATATATATTGCACATAAACCAGTAGTATTTCCTTGTTGTCAACATTGGTTAATCTGTCGAGCTGCAGCGCATACCACAGTGGCTCGTTTAGCCTGTCTAACAATCTAAATAAATTTAGATAGTGGCACTTATTCAGTAAATTATATAGAAACGTCTTGCTGCATAGACATTTTTCCCAGATTGTTCATGTGACCAAGTAGCAACTCCATGGTGCGTTAATGGGTTGCAGCCTCGGGGTTGGGGACCTCTGATCTAGAGAACTTCTGAATGCCAATGTGAAATATATGACTGTGAAGAAAGTGTAAATTTTATACTGTTAATACTCAAGTAGAAGTTGTACTTTATTGCACTATACAAATGCTCCAAGCTGCTGAAGAATAGTAATCAACAGACTTTTAGCTTATAGATTTTAACTGACAGAACAGCCCAGCATATCTGAAACCAAACATAAAATGTTGTGTATATAAATAGTCATGGGAGTGTATTGGAGCATTGTCATTTCTTAAAGTTTATAACTGCATAATTACTTGTCTGCTAAATATTGTGCTTTAAGTGTGTGTGGTTGAACACTTCATGTCTTTGTGATGTAAGGCTGTTCACTAGGGATTTCTCTGTTAGCACTCCTGAGATGTGTGTTTGTGTATCTGACTGTGTGTGATAAATATGCCTTGTGAGGTTCTTGTGCATACAGAGTTCTACTTTTTTGTACAGCTGTAATCCGGAGCATTATTTTCTGTAAATTATATCACTTCAAATGTCTGATTTATGTTAAAACTGCCTCTGTTGATGTGACACTAACAAAACTTGTATTTATGGGCTTTTTCAAACTCTATGAAGTATATGCATATGATGCATGTTATATTTTAGTCTTAATAAGTCTTTGGACATCATTCTCTTTGGACATCCATATTAAAATGTTTATTCATTCTGTACCAAAAAGAAAGTGTTTTCATTCATTTTGCCTGTTGAAGAATGGTCTTGTTTTATCCTGTTTTAGTCATTTGCAGAAGCATAAAATGCTTAAATATGGATTAGAGGAAATGTCTGGAGGAAACCAAATCCTCAAAAACTTTGGAATTAGATGCTGTTGTGAAATGTTGTGGCTCACTATTTTTAATTTGGGTATTAAATCTGAGATCCTAACAAATGTCACTGTTTCAGACTTTACAAAGTGTTGTCTGTAAAAGTGCTTTTGAGACAGAACAGAGACATTTATATGAGGAGGGTGGAATAGATTATGTAATATATGTCCACTGACATGTCTTTTTGTGAGTAGCATTGTGTTTTGTCTGTGATAGAGTTTACATTTTCTGAAATGTAACCATAGAGCAATAAACTACTTTTAATGATTCATCTGTCTCACAGTTTCTGATTTTTATTTGGTGTTTGGAAAAAAAGGAAAAAAAAAAGTCTTAAAACAGTTCTTTTTATTTCCACAGTTCTACTTTGAGTGATGTCAAGTTGATTAGTAAAACAATTAAGAAATAAACGTGGATTGCATAGCCTACTTTATTTATTTTTGCCATATATTTTCACCAAACGTTGACTGTTAAACATAGTGCATTAACTAATGTTAACTAATGGACCTAACACTAACAATTAGCAATGCATTTGTTTGTTACAGTATTGATTAATCTTTATTAATGTTAACATTAAGAAAAATACAAGTGTCCTTTCTGCTCAGGTCCCTTAATACAGTTTTTTTTTTTTTTTTTTTTTGAATTGCTAAAACACATTTCTTAAAAACATCACTCATTTTCTCAAAACATTACACACAAATCCAAACCTTCAAACTAAATTCACAGAACCCCTGACTCTTCTGGCAAAATCAATCAATCGCTTCAAAACCATTTCACCTGTACTCAAAATCAAACAAAGCTTTCAAATCATACACACATTAATTAATAATATATTAGTATTTAGTAAATAGGGGGCACACTGGGGAATGCAGCCTGCATGACCGGTGTCTGAAGCACGTGTGAAACAAAGCCAATCTATTGGCCCACCTGGCCCATGATGTCATAGGCGGGATGCCCGGAAGTATAAGAGGGCACCTGCTGAATACGTCATCCACTTTAGCTGTCTGAAGGAGACGTAAACAGGCAGGCCGTAGGCATGGCAAGGGGCCGCAGGGTCTCGTTTCCTCTGGTACATGCGTAACCCGAGACGTTCCCATTCTAGGGAACTCAATGCTGCGCCCCCTAGGGGGCACATTGGGGAACAAAATCCAATCACGCCATGCCGAGGCACATGCCTGTCCACCTGGTGGGAGAGCACCAAGGAAGTGACAGACATAAACAAAGCCTTTCCTCAGAAAAGCAAGCAAGCCTGATGTAAGCAGTAGCCATAGCACAAGAGGGCTGGACACAGCTATCCTCGAATAGCAGTTCTCTCAGATAAGGCTGAAGATTGCCCAGGCCATGGAAGTGGGCCATCTATTTAAAACCCTGAAGGGGAGACAGCACAGTCCAGGCAAGGGGTTCACAGAGACCACAATCTAAAAACCCTAAAAGGGAAGCGGTCTCCGCGCTGGAACACAGCTATCCTCAAATAGCAGATTCCTAAACAAAGACTTCAGCACTTACTCGAGAACTTGTGCCAAGGGGAACCCAACCTAGTTATTAAAATCTAGGCTAGAATATAGCTGCCCTCAGACCGCCATATTCCAGAGCAAAAACATCACTCATTTTCTCAAAACATTACACACAAATCCAAACCTTCAAACTAAATTCACAGAACCCCTGACTCTTCTGGCAAAATCAATCAATCGCCTCAAAACCATTTCACCTGTACTCAAAATCAAACAAAGCTTTCAAATCATACACACATTAATTAATAATATATTAGTATTTAGTAAATAGGGGGCACACTGGGGAATGCAGCCTGCATGACCGGTGTCTGAAGCACGTGTGAAACAAAGCCAATCTATTGGCCCACCTGGCCCATGATGTCATAGGCGGGATGCCCGGAAGTATAAGAGGGCACCTGCTGAATACGTCATCCACTTTAGCTGTCTGAAGGAGACGTAAACAGGCAGGCCGTAGGCATGGCAAGGGGCCGCAGGGTCTCGTTTCCTCTGGTACATGCGTAACCCGAGACGTTCCCATTCTAGGGAACTCAATGCTGCGCCCCCTAGGGGGCACATTGGGGAACAAAATCCAATCACGCCATGCCGAGGCACATGCCTGTCCACCTGGTGGGAGAGCACCAAGGAAGTGACAGACATAAACAAAGCCTTTCCTCAGAAAAGCAAGCAAGCCTGATGTAAGCAGTAGCCATAGCACAAGAGGGCTAGACACAGCTATCCTCGAATAGCAGTTCTCTCAGATAAGGCTGAAGATTGCCCAGGCCATGGAAGTGGGCCATCTATTTAAAACCCCGAAGAGGAGACAGCACAGTCCAGGCAAGGGGCTCACAGAGACCACAATCTAAAAACCCTAAAAGGGAAGCGGTCTCCGCGCTGGAACACAGCTATCCTCAAATAGCAGATTCCTAAACAAAGACTTCAGCACTTACTCGAGAACTTGTGCCAAGGGGAACCCAACCTAGTTATTAAAATCTAGGCTAGAATATAGCTGCCCTCAGACCGCCATATTCCAGAGCAAAAAGATATTCCCCATAACCACTCTAGGTGCTGAAAACCATGGGAGAGAAAACTCGCATGCCTCTCTCCACAGGATATTTAAATATATTCACACCCAGTGAGGCTCTCCACACACATTAACATGCATATTAGAGAGGCACGGCCACGCTGAATATAGCTCCACCCACAATCTCACAGGATCAGGGCTGAAACGACTCTGTGCTCACACTTCATCGTCATAACAACCCAACAATATCCGTGGCATCTGATAACCGTATGTACGTAGGGTGTGCCCCTAGGGGGCACAGCGTTGAGTTCCCTAGAAGGGGAATCCCACTGGTGTGGCGGATCCAGCCTTGACAAGACAGCATGTCACCACAGGCCAGTTCTTCCACCCTAACGTGTTAGCCTTGTAATTCTACAACACAACACACAAGATTCTCTTCCACTCTTCTCTTGCTGTTCTCTGAATTTTACAACTGATTATGGTGGCCACAGAGAATCTGCTCAGTTTAGGTTGAATGCTTTGTCCTGCCTCTGTCATTCCATGCACAAGAACATGGTCTATCACAGGTGCTCTGATTTCATCTGAAATCAGATGAGTTCTTGGTCTTGCTCTTCCTCTTCCTCATCCTCATCCTCCTCTTCCTCCACCTCGTATGCGCACTCTTCCGTACCTCTCTGATTGATGGATGCACCCATGCCATCTGTGCACTTTGAACTGGCTTATATTTTCACATATTTAGAAACAAGTGTGAACAGTTTTGAATTACAGTTTTTTTTTCAATTGCTAACAAGCATTGTTCAATACTGAAGACACATTTTCAAAACTGTTCCTACAGCCTGCATTACCAACATGAATCTTGGCCAAACAGTTGATCTCACCTTCAAAACTCACTCAGACCAACAAAACACTTCATGTATGTGTCAAAATAAGCTTGCTTCACCATAACACTAGCCAGAATTATCATTCAGAAAACATACATTTCATTCATAACACACTGATCTAAAAACAGTAACAACAGTAACAACAGTGAGCATTACATAAACTATGAACTTTTATCTTTGAAGTTTGAATGATTTTGGACCAATTGGACCAATCAGACACACAACTATTTGTTATATTTAACAAATAATATCTAACGCCCCCTCACCTAACCAAAGGGCCAACTATGAGGGTCTATGGACCCTTTCCCCGAAATGCAACTAACACCTCAAAAGGGCAGAACAGGCCTCTGGTTCCATGGCAACCAAAGACAAACCATCTGATAACACTAGTTTTATTGCTCAAAGGAATTTGGGCAGAGCAACTCTCACTCCATTTGTCCTAAGGAAAGACACATAATGCCCATCAAAATGGACTCTTCTCTAATTAATTAATAAAAAAAACCTTTCTTTGAACGAACACACATATCCCCAGATCATTGTGTATGATTACTACCTTCTTGTTTATGGTTTTGTGTATTGTATATGTTTTATGCATGCTTATGATAGATCACTAGTTAATATAACCTCGTCTATACCATGTTTGGTATCTATGAGTTCGTATTTTCATGATCTAAATGAGTGTGTATATTATATGTTGATACCTATGCAACACATTAGTATTATAAGAATCTTGAAGATTCTTCTCTTGAACACCCAATCGAGTTTCATATGCAAAACACCATGCAAGAGACAAAGAGTCGTAAAATTTCCCTCCAAAGTTCCCATTCCTCATTGGCTCACTCAAATCCCAGAGGAGTGACCTCGATAGAAGATAAAGGCCTCACATCAATGACCCGCCTTCAGTCGGCGGTTCTGTTAGATTCTGAGAAGATGAGGATGTGAGCTAGACCCTAAGGGTCCTGTTTATTGCATTATAGTGACTATTTAATATTACATTTAAGCGTTGACTAGGCTAGACATGTTGCCTATTAATTGTATACAGTATATGAACCTGAAAGCATATTTTAATTTTTGTGTATTTTGTGTTACTCCATAATAATGTTCTAGTTGAGGGCATTTGTAGTATAGGTATGGGGCCCAAACATAACCTCAAGCCCAGGGGCCCCCGGCCCCGTAAGTCCTGCCCTGCACACACACACACAGGATGATGATTAACGGAGGTTGCATGAAGTCCCAAAGTTCTAATACTCGTTTTCTACGAGTTCTTTAAATTCAACCTGAGAAAACTCATAAAAGCAGAGACTTGGCTTATGTTTACGGCTTAAACTCAATTCAGCACCC